AAGCAAATTTTGAAAACAAAACCCATACCTTTAAGATGCTTTAACTCGCAAGATATTGTCAAAACTGAGGATTAATTTTATCAGCCCTGAATGACATGTTGGAGGGATTTTTCTTTTCCGAATGGTTTAAAGCATATCCTCCCGACCCATGTTGACGTCACTCAAGACGTCATTACCTCATACTTTAGTTTGAGTATTTTCTACCCAAAATGATACTTCTATATTTTCCTTTTAAAAGCGCTCACAACCTAACGAGCACACAGTTCATATCGTAACTGAAACGCTGCTTAGATTTTTCCAGGGATTCAAGTTGGTGTGGGGAACAAACTAATCGAACGCGCCACGTGATAGGCAGAAGAGAATCTTTGATGACACTTTTATCTGATTGGTCGGCGTCCGGTTGTCGCTGTAAACACAAGCTATATACGTCAAATATGTAGAATTCGCGCAAAACTTGTTTTACTTCACGGGTTATCTTCCGTAAAGAATAAATAACCTACCAAACATCTTCATTATGCACCACTGACAGGTGTGAAGCTTAAGCTAAATTTGAAACTTCCTTGCGTTATTTGGGTAATTTAACAAAACATATAATTATGGAAGTGTATGCTTTCTTGAAAATAGCTTTACTTTAAGTAAATGTTTTATTCATTGGCAATGCTTGAATGTTGTAAATAAACTTATGGTGTACTCCGCATAGTTTCATCTTCGTCCACTCCTGGATGCTTGTTCTGAAATAATGGAGTCATTCTAATTTTCGTAGACATTTAGGCCTTTCTTGCGGCCCTGTGAACAAGATTTTAACTAAGGGGGGAACGTCTGGCTTGTAAATCTTGACAGAAGATCCCATTTGCCGAAATACTTCAGAAACTACAATTGCTGATTAATTTATCCTACTCTGACGTTATAACAACATTCCACATCCACCTTGACATACAGCGATGTGTGCATTGTCTTGTTAAATCTGTGGATGAATTTACAAGCCCAATGCTGACATTACTTATTCCAGTCTAAAGCTGTGAAATTTAACCGCGAATGTGTTTTTAGGATACAAATGATAACATAGAATGACCTTTCTTGGGTTAGTCAACAATTAGGTCCTCGCATCCTTATTGGTTGAGCTAAGGCTTAGCGCGTAGAGCGCACCTCTTCTCACCCATCCATAAAAGCTTGTCGGTCGCAGGTTGCGGTCATAATGGATTTGACATTTAACAAACAGGGATATCGTCTTGCGCCTGAACATCACGCCTGATACTCCAGCAGTACCTGTTTACCATGATGACATCAGACCACCGTCCGGGTGACGTCATGGTGCGCTAGTTTCTGTTGGAGCCGTTGTCTTGGAAACGCATGGTAATGCAAACAGTGGTCCCGTTTCTAAGGTCGTTTTGGACCATGCCTTCGCTTGTTCTCATGGTTAATGCACGGTGAAAAGGGTCCCAACGGCATGCGATCTTAAAGGGCGAGTGTCGAATATGGTTAGAGGCGTCGCGTGCGTGACAATAAAGGAACCAATTAGCAATTAGGCAGCGCCCCCAACGACAAACTTACATATCTTGGAAACTCTAAAGCATTGAATGGTACGCTGCAAAAACTCTTTTGTTTAAAACAACACTTTTTGGTGTTATCAGATGACCGCACCAAAATGCGTTACTGTAACACCGCTGATGTTACTTTATACTCCTGTACGTGTTACAAATGCAATGGGGGTGTTTGTTCGTTTGTTGGGGTGTTTGTTGGGTTGTTTGTTTGTTTGTTGGGGTGTTTGTTTGTTTTTTGTAGTGTATTAAACAGACCTTCACTCGAGTCGGATAGCCTTTGTTTCTTCTTTGTGTTGATAGAGGGCGCAGCGAGTGTTCATGTGACACCAGGCTCCTTCGACGATGATCTGTGATGTGACAGAAGCACGATGTTGGACCCCACACCAATTACAAAAATCCACAGATCTTTCAACTGCAAAAGCATCACGCGATGACGAGTATATGGGGCATTTCAGATTTGACGGCCATTTTTGTTTCTTCCAGGCTACAATCCTCTCATACAGTTTCTTCGAGAAAATCGCATATGCAAGCAGGCAATCGCCAAACTTTGAAAAGTTCGACACATCTCTTTTCTGACGATGCCGTCGCCATGAAATATTGCTCACGTCCTTTCGGTCCAAGTTCAGGCCTGAATAAAACTTCCCCGAAATGAAAGAAATACTTATGCCCAGAGCGCACCTGTGACCAATTAATCAGCATAGCAAATATCTTTTCATCAGCTGCGCCCGTGTCTGGGGGATTGTTGTCAAGTTTCTTAGTCGAGATGGCCAGAGCATGCGGGAAAGACCCGACAGTTAATCATCCGGCTAATTGGCAGGTAGCTTGTATATGCACGACCCACGGGTCTTTCCGTTAATCTCGCTCCGACAATCCCAATGCTCTGCCAGAGTGTACTTTTGTGTCACCTTGGCTACCGAAAGACAAAAACCGCGCAGTTCAAAGTGAGGCGACGAAGGTAAGTCTCCTCCTAGCAAAAGGGCAAGAGTAGAAACCCTCATCAATGGAAGCTTTTCGGAGAAAAGTGCGTTAGTGAAGTGATTAAGTTTTCTAAGCTGCTTTTATGTCATCCCAGAGATGTGTTGGCAACATTCCCCCGTTGTTATGGAGATTTATCTCGGAACACGTTAAGCAGTTTGGGCACGCATGTACATGTATATTATTTAATTCCCGTCACTCGTGATACTTACAAGCCTCCACTGCACCGTGCAAGTGTTTGGGTTCCCTCAATAATATACTTGCGACAACTGGTCACGATTCTAGAAGATAAATTTGCCGCTTGCAGCATTTTGTTGCTTTGTAATTTGCTGATGACGGTTTCCGTTGCTGAAAATTAGCTTTCCTTTCTATAATTTTACCAGGAGGATGAATGTATTATTAAGCTACCTAAACTATGTAAACCTCTGAGGTCATGTCATCAGAATGGAAACTTGTTACTCCCGACTGTAAACCTTCTTCAGGCGGCTTACTCGTCATGAAACTGGACTCGTGTTGGAAAAGAGACCTGTCCGGCGTGATTGAAGCTGCCTCGGAGAAGCGGATGAAGTCCATCCAGGGCACTGGATTTGTCGTTGGGTATCAATCCCAGGGTCCCAAACTATTTTGTGCAGACAAGTGTTACCGCATCCCAAATGGGGGATGTTGTCAGCGGAGATCTGCCAGGACTTCAAAGGGAGAAAATCCACCAGTCCTCGAGACTTTCATTTTCTTGACCTTTTGCATTTCGTCTCCAGCATCAACCTCTTCTTATATCCGGCATTATTTTGTTCAATCATCTGTCATAATCCTTTTTCTGTTCTCAAATGTCTTTAGTGTCAGTCTTTTTCTGTTGCCCCCTTTTTAATTCATTCACTGCAGTTATTGCTTGACTCATTTTGTTTGGTCGTTGGCTCCAGTACTACGTCTCTGGCTTCCACTGATCCGTGCTCCTTCTTCCGTGGATTTCCAGGCGACGTATTCCCTACATCATTTGAAACAAAAGTAATCCTTGAAGGGCAAAGCAACGGACGCGTTGTGCAACCATATTGTTTGTGGAAATGCGTCAGTTACGAAAGAGCTCTAAATCAGCAGATCACCTGAGAATAAATTACCGTTTCCTTCTCCAACTCCTTTTCTGTTGGAGGCAAGCGTCACATCGTTTCCATTTTGAGTTTTTAATTAGTCATTTTGAAGACCCAAGAGGATAGTTAATGGGATCTGTGGTTTGGCGTGCTCGCTCACTAATCGTAAATACTAATACCATAGCTGTGTGTTTTTTGCACCCTAAAAATAGACAGTACAGGTGCCTGCTTGCTTGAAAAAAAAAACTGTTCCTAATTTCCTGAGTTTGTTTTATTCATTTCACTGCGGTATCCCTGTATTGCTAATTTTTCTCCAACAGACAAAATAAATTAAAATCAACTGCAAACACAGTGTTTTAATATGCATGCGATAGATTGCTTCTTCTAACACTAATCATTTTATCATCAATTTGTTGACGTCATTATTGCCAGCTCCATTCATCCTCCTCGTCGACGTCGTTTCCCCGTCACTATTAAACACGACATGGTCATCGCTTCCTAGCCCTCTGATTGGTCCACTTTCGCAA